GGTCCGGTGAGGAGACACGGCGGCAGCGCCAGCCTCAGCTCCTTGGGCGCCCTGGCACTCATCGGCGCTGGGCTGGGAGGGGCCGGGCCCACCAGACTTCCTCTCTTGGGCACAAGGTTCCCACCAGCCAAGAAGAGGACGGAGCCCACGCCACCCAAAACTACTCCCCGGTGCGGGAGGAGGGGATGCGCGCGCGAGCGAAGGAGCGAGGGAGCAACTGCTGGCAAGCAAGCTGGCCAGGGAGCGAGCGGTGCCCAGGAGATCCTCTCCAGCCCCGCCTCGAACGCGTGTCTGCGCGCCCTTTTCCTTGGCCAAGGCACCAGGCTGCAAAGAGAACAGGCTTAGTTAGGATCCCGGACGCTGCCCAGAGGAGCGCGGAGAACCGGAATGATCACCGCCACTGCAAAGCGGCCCTCTGGGCACATTGCCTCAGCTGGGCGCTGCCCGTCTTCTCCGCAGCCCGCGGACCCCAGCCCGCCCGCCCCTGGCCGCGCACCAAAGCCTCCAGTTCCGCGCTCGCGCCACTTGCCCACTTGCCCACTTGCCGGGAAGGGGTCTGCGCCGGCCGCGGAGAAGCCGATTACTCAGCAGATAAAGCAACCTCCCTGCGCCCTCCACAACTTTCTAATTGCAACAGACACACAGCCACCTCGGAACGCGGTCCCTGCTTCTCAGAGTACCGACTCTCCTGCTTCCTGCGCCCTCTCAATGGATGTCTTTGCCTGGATCCTACCCTTCCCAGCACCCACCCCGAGCCTCCAAGCCCGCTCCGGGTACGCAGTCCTCCCTTCTTTTCCCTCCTCCCCCAGATTCTCCCTCCCTGGACCGCGTCAGATCCCTTAGGTCCCATTCCCATGGGGGTAACCCTGGCGCCACATCCCACTCCGCCTCTGTCCGCGGCCGCGGCTGACGCGCACGATTGCGCTCCATTCTTTCTCCAGCCTTCTTCCCCGGTACCTCCCCCCCAAACACAGAGGAAAAAAACCCAGCTGAAGCACCTTTCTCAGCTAAAGCACATCCCTGCAAACGCCCCCTTCTCCCCATCCCCCTGTGCTCCCCCACATGGCAATATTCTGCTTCTTCTAAGGGGGCTGGAGATGAAAGGGGGAGGGTTCCCACCCGCAAAGTTTGGAGAACGGACCTTCTCTCGGGCCTTCCCAGAACCAGCTCGAGGGCCTCGAGGCTCTTCCGGGGGACCAGAGCCAGGCAGACCTGCAGCGCGCAGCGGAGCCCCCTTGCCGCTCTCGAGAGGCGGCTGCAAACTGTTGCACTGCGGAGCAGCGAGGCGGCGCGCG